CCAAATTTCTAGCTCCCGGCTCGAGCCTAAACCTCCTAGAAAATTATAATTTGAGCAAACACATACATAATCCTAACACTAGGAAAATAACCTACTTAAAGCATTACAAAAATAATGCAAATCCCAAAACAATCCCTCTTTTGAATTTTCCCTCCTAATCTCCCTTAATTTCCTCTCTAATTGTTGTTGGACTCCAGCCCAAAAAGGGGGCGGAAGTTTGAAGCAGAACCTGTCCGCCTCTTGTAATAGGATCGGTCTAACACAACCACTAAGTAAAAATTCTTAATTAATCATCAATAATAGGACATCAATACATTGAAAATTTGTAAATCGGTGAATGATTATGGTAAAGGCCAATCTAAAATGGCTTGAACCTTGGTCTATTTTTATCCCAGCCTCATAGATAACATGACCTAGAAAACTAGTCGTTTGTTAAAAATTTGTCTTTACTAGGATTTACATACAACTTTTTTAGTCGTTAAACTTCAAAAAGTTGACATAAATGATGTTTGAGTACTAGGATATCATCGAAGTATACAACTGCAAATTTTTCCATAAATTGTCTACACACTCGTGTCACCAAATGCATGAAAGTGCTTGGAGCATTGGAAAGACAAAAATGCATCACTACCCACTCATATAAGTCATTTCATCTTTTGAAAGCTACTTTCCATTCATCACCTGTCTTCATTTACATTTGATCATACCCAGGTCCAATTTTTTATAAATGATATGATATGCGTCCCAAGTGCCGTAGGACATGCCTGTAGTTTTTTCTTTGTTTCCTATGTAGGTGGATCTTAGCATTCTATTGTATCTTGAAATACCTGAGTCCTATTTATTGTCTCATAAAAGTATTGATTGGAACTGTTTGGGTTTTCAAGTAGACATAAGTTGACTTTAAGGGCTTCTACTTATTTTGAAATGCCTTGTTTTTTCTAGATTTCTTCTCCTCTGCAGTAATATTTTCAAACTACGACTTATTTTCTGTGGATGCAAAATATATAGACAAAAATGAAGCCTTAGGATTTTTTCTTTTGTGTTTTTTGACTGTGGGATGCTATTGTGGAATAAATACCTTTTGTTTATATATTCATTTAAGGTTATAACCTGTTGTATATCATTCAGGTTGAAGAGGAAAATGCTGGAGTTGCTGATCATTCTGTGGAAGATTGCGTGAGTAACGATTCTGTTCAAAGATATGAAATATTCCATGACAATCAATTAGATTTAGCACCTCCATCTGATTTGAATGAACAAGAAGAAAAAGTTCCTACTGTTTTTAAGAATTCTTTAGGAATGGATATATATGATAATGATCCTGGAGGCAGCTTTGAAAGATGGATGGATAAGGAACTAGGCAATGACTGTAGTGATATTCTTATGGCTTCAGATTCATGTTCTAACTGGAATGCTATTGATACTCAAAATGATAAGGTATTTTCCGGTTTGTCTCGGCATATTCAGCTGGATGTTGATTCAGTGACTCCTTTGCTTTCACAGGAGCAGCTCTTTAGCATTGATGACTTCTCTCCTGATTGGGCTTATTCTGGGGATGAAACCAAGGTATGTACCCATACTGTTGCTTGCTTCTTGCTGGATACTAAACCGCAAAGGTCTATTTAGGTAATTCAACTATTAGTTTGCCAACGATTTCCTATGGCATCTTCTTTGATTAACATAACTTTGTACAGGTTCTAATCTCAGGTGTGTTTCTTGGTGGAGTACAACCTAGTAGTATAAAGTGGTGTTGCATGTTTGGGGAAGTTGAGGTTTCAGCTCAGGTGTTGACAACAAATGCCATCCGTTGTCAAGCCCCTCCACACAGTCCTGGACGAGTGCCATTTTACATTACCTGCAGCAATAGATTAGCATGCAGTGAGGTTAGAGAATTTGAATATAGAGAAAATCCGACAGGTACAGCAATATCAGAATCTCTCAAGAATGAATCAGAAGATGAAATGTACCTCCAAATCCGATTTGCAAAGATGTTATCCCTAGGTTCAGATAAGAAAAGGCTATTATGCTCCACTGAAAATTGTGCCAAGTGCATTGTAAAGAAAAGTTTGGCTCATATGTTGATTGATGATGAACCTGGGTGGGAAAAGATTGAAAAGGAGACCAAAACTTGTCAAGGACATCTGTGGAATCTCAGGGATGCGTTGCTTGAGAAGTTACTGAAAGGAAGACTCTATGAATGGCTGGTTTGCAAATTGCATGAAGATGGCAAAGGCCCAAATATTCTCGATGATAAAGGCCAAGGAGCTATTCATTTGGCAGCTGCTCTTGGTTATGAGTGGGCAATGACTTCAATCATTTCTGCTGGTGTAAATCCAAGTTTTAGGGACGCACGTGGAAGGACTGCGCTTCACTGGGCTGCTTATTATGGAAGGTTAGAATTCACGTCTTAACTTCTTAGATCTAATTTGTAGGCACCATTATTTATTATATAGGTATTCTGCAAATGAGTCTTCAAAGGAATCTCCTGGTTTTGTAAAATATTCTCTATCTTATTATGCATGATGAAAACTTTTATTGCTTTCAAGGAGCTTTGACAAAATCAAGGTCCTAATAGTTGCTTAGAGGCTTTTTTTTTTTTAATATTTACTGTGTTCTGTGATAATAGTTTCAATGATTTCGTTAACCTGTGGATTTATGAAAATAATTACATTTTCTTGAAGACTTAAAAAATTAGTATTAAGTTATCAATGGATTAAGTTTCATACGCCTTTCAGTGCTATTGTGTACAAGGATGCCAGTATCGCCAACTCCACAGTTTTTATAGAAATAAAGTGAACTACTATGTTACGAGATTATAGACCTGAACTTCCATTGTTTATAACCCGTGATACCACCAGCCACCAACCATTTAGGAAACTTTTTGGTTCCATCGTTGATGAGAATGGCAAGCTGTTAGTGGTTCACACAATTGCTTTCTTGCATTCTTCTTATTATTCTCGTCACTAAATTTCCTTTAGCATATAAATGCAGGATGAAGTTACATACCCATTTAATTTTTCTATTCCAGTTTTTGAAAACCTGGTCTGTTTTTTAATCAGTTGGATTTGGTTACATTGGGAATGATTTGGAGGCTTTTTTTTTTTTAATTTCACCTTATAGCTTTGTTACCTGCTAGAAAATTTACAACAATAGAGTTTGTGTTTTTAGATCTTAACTTTGTACAAAAATCTAACACAGAAAGTTGTGAGAAATCATAAATTTTTACGTGAAAATTTCAAGATTGGGAACAACCACGAAGCGTGGCATATTTGTAATAATCCACTATATATTGTAAGAATCCTTCATTCCTCCTAATTGAAGAAGATAAGATTATATAGACTTGAGCATAATTATTTGATTCTCCTTGTACAAATTACAAAAATCACATGTCTACGAGCAAATAGTTAAAACCCAATGATAGGATTATATGTTATTGTTAAATGACAATAGTCGGATGACAGAAATCTGATAATGTGAGTTGCAATTGCTAATGGTGATTGTCTAAAATGATTGCCGGAAATAAATATTGATCAGCTCTCTTAACTCTTGAACCTCCTCTTCATGTAGAGAATGAGGCTCTAGTTATAGCATTTTTGAGAAAGTTATTTTGATAAATTTGACCAAAATTTAAAACAGTCCATTGCACGATTCATATTGATCCCCTTGATTATCAATCATTTATCAAATATTTAAGTGTCTTAATGATGCCATAATCGAATGATCTTATATTTGCCTCGTCAAGCTACTCGATTTGACTATTAGCATATCATAATTTGAGATAGTTTTGTTCTTAAATTAATGTTCTGAAGTTTCCATACATGTTTCATATGCTTGATTTGAGCTCATTTGGAGTCGAAATGAATCACTTGTAGTGTCGATGTGTTTGTCTAGTCGATGTATTCAATTTGAAAATAATAGTTTGGATGGTCCTAAATTTAATTTTAAAAGTTTTATATCTTTTTTTTACTCGAGATTCATGCCCATATCAAGTCTAGATATTGGTTGTTGGGCTCATAAAGTCAAACTTCTTTTGGCGGCAGTCTCCTTCCCACTAATTACAAATGTGTCTTCCTATACGATTCTACTTAAACCGGGGATGAGCACTCTCCTTATTGTTGCCAGAGCCTACATGTACATCTGTAATCATTTTAAACTATGATTCTAATAGTACACATGCTTTGGATTTAGTTTGCAAATCACATTGTACAATTGCTGCATCCAGAAGCTCCAATTTGTTGCTTTCATTTATTGTAAGTACTCTAATGTGTTGAAAACATTCCTTAATTAGCATTAAAAATATCTATGCCAAAGCAAGGATGGAGATGATCTTGGAAATTGGCTTTATTAATAGCAAGGCTATTAATGATTGTTTGAATTATCGTTCTTTTCTTCTTTGACCTCTTGTGTTTATTTGGCTACTTAGACACTTCTAGTAGGAGTTCGGAGAATTTCTTTTTGCAAGACAAGCTAGCATGATTGGCATGTCCTTGCCTTGGTGATTGGGAAATGGATGGGGTTAAACTCATCTTTCCTCATAGTTCATGTTTCCATTTGAGTATATAGGAATTTCACCAAGTTGTTTTGTGGGTTCCGAAAATTCGACCCCGGTCTCCGCCCGCACTGTTGCTTTTTCTTCATTCGGCGAGGGGAGTTTTAACCGAATTAGTTCCGGGGTAAATTTTGGAAGGAAGATGGGTTTGTAGATAAGACACTACCTAGAGATTTCTCCCTCATTTTGCGATGACTTTATGATCTGAGTTCTGGTTTCCTATAGGCGCAAGCCCCTATAGTTAATTACCCCTCTCGATAATGAGAGAGATAACATTCGATTAAGGCTATTCATCAATCAGATACATAGAAATACGTGGTATCTGGCATATAGTAGCAACAATGGGTTTAGGATTTGGAAGTTTAAAGGTTTTGGAAATGGTTGAGGATTTGAAGATTAATATTTGAAATTGAAAATTGCACCATCTTGCACTTAAAGCGGATGGTGGGGGAATGGATGATGGACCCGATCAAGATCCTATGGTTTCGTCGTCTCGGGTCATCGTGGTCCTTGGTCTACTTAGTCAGGGAGGTAGTCGACCCAACCTGATAGAAGGATCCTTGTCAGCAGCCATGAGTTGCTTCGTCCAAGGGGACCTTGTAGATCTGGGTTGAATATTTATCTAAGGGGACAAATTTAAATCCACCTTAGCTAACAGAGGGCTTTGTGCCCTATCGATCATATCCTATTGGTTCATATCTCAGAATTTGATGCCATTAAGGAGCATGTTGGCTCTGGCCATAGGTATTTCGTGATACCATTTGGCGGCAAAACCACTCGGTTCAGAGGGCCCCGGGTCATAACTGTTTATCCTGCGGTGTCATTTGGCGGCAAACCGCCGGTTAGAGGACATGTATCACGTCCTTACTGGTAGGAGACTGTTTGAGAATGGATCCTAGTAATATTTTCGACTAGGCATTAGCTCTTTGTGAGCTGAAGTAATTTTCAGATTTGTCCACCTTGACAAACTGTTGTGAAAGGTGGATGAATTTTTACTTTAAGTGATTTGATGGATTTATTTTAATTTTAAATATTTTGATTTTTGGATTTTCTGTAATTTTGGGAAATCTTTGTGGAGTTTTGATGAGAATTTGGAAATTTAGGAGGCACTTGAAGATGTTGTGAACCCCTCCTGTTGAGATCTTCGTTCAACACGGCCATCATCGGGGTGGCGAAGTCATTCATTGACTAAACCTTGTCAATCCTATCAACCTACCGATAGGCGATAGGGAATCAGTTTTCATAGGCTTTGTGCCTTTATTAGTGAATTCTCTTGATTATAGGCATTGAAGGTCTAATATAAATGTATTAAAATAAATACATCAGTCGCCACAACCGTGTGTTTGTTTGAAGGTTCGAACCCTGTCGACTCCTATTGATCAGCATATAAGAATCGAGTTCAAACTTGAATTCACTTATTGACCCGCACAGCATCCCTAGGCGTCACGTGTGTACCAATAACACGCTCGTCGGGGCCCTTGCTTGTTTTGTGATTGCATTTATCCCTTGTGTACCTATGTGTATACAAACTACGGTGCACATGTGGGGGTATTTTAAAATATTTGTAAACGTCTTTTGTCCGTTTGCATGAATGTTGTGGATCCAGTGGCGTTTATTCGTAGATTGTATGTAATATTCGTAGTGGGGCGCTAGCAGAAGCTTGTGGGAGCTTGTATTTATTGTATTCTTCATGTAATTTGTTGTGGTATTTGGTTCATGTAGTACATCAGCCACTGTTATAAGTAGGCAGATAGATGTATTCCTTCACAGATTGGAATTGACTTCAGAATACTTCATTTACTGAAGTCTTTCTACATCTACCCATAACTGGCATATGGCACATACATCTATCTTTGTAGAAAGCTTATATGTATTGCAGATCTTTTATCTTTGCTGGCATGTAGATTAATGTGCTTGTTTGTATGTTGATGTAGATTGCTTGAGTGTTATAAAACAATTATTTCATCTATTAAGTCCCCTTCACACTCATTTGCATTCTGACTAGCTTGAAGATCTCCCAAAATTTCTTGAGAGCTCTATGCTATTGATTGATTGTAATCATGTGGTTATCCTTTCAATTTGATCTATGTTTGCAAGAAGATTGTTGTATTTGTTGCAATTCTTCTAGTGTTGCTTGTAGGTAGGTAGATGTCTTCATTTGCAGGCTAAAATTGACTACAGGATACTGACTGAAGTCTTTCTACATCTACCTACAGAAGGTATATGGTGCTCACATCTGTATTCCTGGACTTGTATGTATTGCAGATCTTCTGGGCCATCTGTCTTTATGGATGTTGCATTGCAAGCATTGCACACTCTTCATGCTTTATAGAGATGTTTAGATCTCCAAACTTTACTCATGATCATATCACTGCACCGCTTATGGATAGATCTTTGCATATATTGGAGCTCCTCTATTGCTTGAGGTATTTGCTTAGCACCAGACTGTTTGTTGATCGTAGGAGTATCCTAACATTCACATATATTGCACTGAGCATGTTTAATTTGGGATATGTCTCTCACAACATCATTAGACTCTTTCATTTGCAATAGAATAAGGTATTCATATACCATAGGCGAGTCGCATTTCATTGTCAACCTCTCCACATATGATGCTCTTTTTCACTTGTAGGTGGACGACTGTAGGCATAGAAAAGAGTCTTCCGTCATTGCCAACATATATCTACATCCATCATATGTTGATCACCATTGCTTGCAAGGGTTGAATACTTTTGCTTGTATTTTGACATTGCTCGCAAGGAAGATGTATCAGTTATTGCCTCCTACTACATGGTTTATAGTGCTTGTATTTGTCGCATGTCTCTTAATATTCACAAGAGATTGTCACATGTGTTTGTCAATTAATGATTGCTTGGTACCAAGGAGATTATTTTCTTCACAACTCTCTTGTTTTACTTGTGAGCATATATGATGAATAACATGTCATCATATCCATCACAAGCTTCTAATTGCATGCATCCAAATGGCTTGTTGGGTATATTATTGATTGCTCATCATTCATGTATGACTTACGCCTCATGTCACAAGTCCTTGTTTGCATTTTAGTTTTCACTCATTATAGGTTTATGTATGGATTATGATACACATTTGAAGCTTTCATTTGCTTGAAGCTGAGTCCCCTGTTGTCCAAATTGTAAATTCATATGATTCGTACTTGATTCAATCAAGTTCATGTCATTCATAGATTGCTCAAGTCCGGCGAAGTTTCAATATAAGTCCCTTGTTCATTTGGGTTAGAGCCCAAAAGATTTCTGTTATATTCACTTAGTATTCCAATCAAGTTCAAGTCTGAACTTATTTCATTTGGATTCAAGTATTTTGTTAATCATTTTGTGTCCAAATGTTCAACTAGCAAGCTCAAGTCCTTACTCAAATTGTTCAAGTTCAAGTCCCAAATCAAAGTCCCCTATGATCTTGTAAAGTCCATGTCCGAGTTTATGTCAACAGTATTTAGTTCATTTGAGTTCAAGATCGAGTTCAAAACACAAGTTCAAGCTTATAAGTCCAATCTTATAAGTTTTCATCATTTGATTAAACTTTGAGTTCATTTGGTTTAAGTTTGGATTTAATTTATTTGAATTCATTGCATATTCGGGTTCAAGTTTGATGCCAATGTCCTCTATTGTTCAAATATGTTCAATCATGTCCAAGTGTAGTTTGGCGTTCACCCGAAATTTCGGCAGCCTTCTGGCGTCTCCCCGGTTTAGAGGCAAAATACAGGAAACTAGGCCTTTCTCACCATGCTAAAAAAAGCGTGTATGATAGGTGTTCTCGGACGAGCACACCGTGGCCGTGTATTTTTTTTTTATCCCCCACTACGCTAAGAAAAGCGTGTATGGGCCTTCGGTACCGGTTGCAAAGAAAAAAAAAAGTTATTTTCCCATAAGCGGGTACTTATAGGTATCCCAACTTCATCATATGCATCGCAGAGGGTTCTCATCCCACCACATTAAGAAAAGTGTGTATAGACGATTTTCCGGTGTGCCACGAACTCTGAAGAAGGGACTTTAGGTGATTACCCGCTTCGTCGCAAGCATCGTGACGCACTTCCTTTCACCACGCTAAGAAAAGAGTGTATAGGTGGTCATTTTGTCTCGACGCATGCGTTGAAATCGGGTTCTCAGAGTTTTAGGATTTAGAATGGTTATACCTGCACGGGGTTGACATGTGGATCGAGGTAAAAGTGAGGCAATTATAATTAATTATAATTATCCTTAGTTAATTATATTTACTTATAATTAATTATAATTAATTAAAATAATTAGTTATATTTAGTAAAATTGGCTAAGGGATTTGGCTGGAGAGGTGTGGGAGAGCTCTCGGTTTGGGGATTGGATTGCAGGAGCGGGGTCGGTCGGCTAGGATGGAATCGGAAGCAGCGATCGGAGGTCTCGGCTTGGAGAGGAGGTATGAGAAAGGAGCTCTCTCCCTCTCTCTCTATCTCTCTCTCTGCTTGCAGTTACGATGCGATCGAGCAAGGATCGGAAGGTAGAAGCTCGGGCGCCGGCTCTATCGAGGTCGGATGGAGCTCGGGAAGGCCATGGGTGAAGACCAACGGTTTGGAGAGGGAGGAGCTTGGGAGGAAGAGATGCGGGAAGAAGGAGATCGTGGAAAGTCTGGCTTTGGGTTTTCGATCGGGAGCTTCCGGTCGGCTTAGAGGCAGAGGAGGTCGAATGCAAGGATTCGTGGATTTCGGGAGGAGAAGCAGAGAGCCGAATGCTCTGTTTCGCTTGGTATTTAACGACGCCAAAAGAGCTGCGATCGAGGCCGGTTTCGCGCAGGTATTACGGAGAAATGAATGAACCGGCGCCGAATCGGTACGTATACGGGATTTCTGCTGATTTCCTGGAATTTGGGTTGAAATTTGAGCTGAGTTTTGCTTCTTATCCTTAGGTTAACATTTTCGAGATTTTCTTTAAAATCAGTCTCCTATTATTCATTTTGCACTAATTTCTCTTTTGTTTCTTCTTTGATTTGTGTTTAGAAAAAAAAAAAGATATAATCACTTGTATATTCTTTATTTAGGTGAATCAAAACATCATTTGATAGTGTGAAATCCTTTTATGTACTTTCTTTCAAACCAATCTTTGAGTATGTAACAATCTTTGAATATGTAATAATTTTTGATAGGGTGGCTAATTACCTTGCGATATGGGCAATAATTGGGGTTGTCAGTTTGATTTGCCTCTTTCGGGCTTTTGGATTCTGTCAATTCAAAACCCATGTAAGTGCTTATCAGAATTATTCAACTACACTTTTCTTCTTGAAGGAATATTCTTTATTCATATTTTCCTTAAAGGATGGGAGTATTCAATTATTGGTTCCTGCCATTTGTAACTATGGGAACTGGACCTATGGAGCAGGTTGATTTCTTCCCACCACTCGCTTCTCTTTACTCATAAATAGGCTCTTTCTACTGTATATCATATGTCATGAATTATTCTCCATCTTTTTCGAATAAGTCCAATTTAGTGTTGTATTTTTTTGTTTCAACAGGTGTTGGCAATGATCCTAGAGAAGACCGTTATTTTAGCATCCCAAAGCAAGTATGTTCTCTCTCTTCTAAATAGTTCTAGCAAAAATATACACTGCAATTCATGTATCCTCAAACCAATAATGAATACATCAATGGTGGCATTAGGATTTCAAGTGAAGGGGCAAAAGCTTCTAATTTCTAGTAAAATTTTCATATCCTCCTACATAGTTACATAGAACTTCTCAAATTTAAGTGGGCAAGAGTCATCTTCGGCCCATCCCTAGTTCCAACATTGCTTTAGATACTCATGTATAAACAAGTATAATGTCGTTGCTAGCATCACATCTTACATGGTAATCATCTTTTGTAATCCACATGACCCTGAAACAAACGATAAAGGTTCTATAATATATATAATTGTAGGAAATTTTTGAATGAAAATTTTTATATTATACATTGTCATAATAGTTGCAGAGATGAGGATGCTCAGGTGGATGAGGGGCTTTACTTTTAGAGATAGGATACAAAATGAATATATTCTTGAAGGATGGAGTAGCTCAAGCTTAAGATAAGATTAGAGAGACTCGCCTTATGGTTTGGTCATATAAAACAACGGCCTTCCAATGATCCGGTTAGGAAAATAGAGGTATTAGATTTGACTTATTTTAAGAAAGGTAGAGTTGGTTAGAGAATATTAGAAATGATATTTACTAATTAGATTTATACGAGAATTTGACTTTTAACAGTACACAATAGAGAAAAAGGATTCATTTAGCCGACCCCATGTAGTGGGATAAAGGCTTGTTGTTGTTGTTGTTGTTGTTGTTGTATACATTGTCATAATAAAGTTTTTCTCAAAGCTTAAGGGATGAGAGCCAACCCCCCCAACCCCTACATGATTCCACAATTGCTTCACACCTTGTGTCGTTAAAAACTTCACATATTACATAGTATCGTCTTTGATAATTCACATGAACCTTCAACAAGAAACAAGTTGTTCCCAATAACAAATGGATTTTCTTCCAGGCAAAAACTTACGATCCTGAAGGTGAATACGTTTCATATTGGTTGCCAGAGCTCCAACCTCTTCCCAGAGAGAGAAGAAATTTTCCTGGGAAATCATATATCAAGCAAGTTGTACCTCTCAAGTTTGAAAATACTACAATCAATAGGCAGAATAATTTCAGTACAGGTAAGGTATGGAAGAAGAAAGATCACTGACCGAATGCATATCTGAACAAAATTTCTTTCTGTTACCCAACAGATTACCAATTTGTAATTAATAGAAAAGTATTTGTAGTATTGATTGGCTTTATGAATAATTAACATATTAGTAAATATAATCTCATAATTGTTAAATTTGATCAATTAAGACAACTGAGTGTTTTAATTATTAATTTATTTCTAATTCATTATACAATTTAACTTTAAATTTATTAGAATAATTGATTAATTAACTAATTAAGAAGTCTAATTTACCTCTTTATAGCATTTTAATCAATCATTTGATGGCTGAGTAGCTAAGTTTGTTCAAAATTGGTATTTTCATCACAATTATTAATTTACCAGTAAATTAATATGAAGCTTATTGATTAATTCTTAATTCATTAACCTATTTAATATCTTTTGTGACAATTGGGCTTCTGTCCTATTTTGAAAAGCGATAATATGTTTTTTTTTTTAAATTCTTCTAAGAAGAAAACTTCATTGCAGAAATGGGAAAAGGCACGACTTTTAGATTCTAATATAAAACTTCCAAGAAAAATCCTATCCATCATTTTTTGTTCAATATTTTAAAATTAAATGAAATTATCAAATGCTCAGACAAAGGCCAGAATAAAATGAATCTCCATTTTTTGCCAATCTGAATAACAGGTTTTATATATTCTTGGCTGAATTGGTTTAGGAACCAAGAGATTCTAAAACGCAGAACTTAAAATTTTAAAGAGCAATAACTGTAACAGTCCAAAGTACATCAAATGCTACCATAGAAGTTCACCGTATGTGATGTCAAAACATACAAGCAGGACATTGATGATCAAGAAAAAAAATTTCTTCCCTATCAACATTTTTTTCACCTGGCCATTGTTTGACTTTGAAAGTGCCTTTTTTTGAGTAAATGCTTGTATGGATGAGGCAAGATTTATTCATTGTGATGATGAAAGCCTGGAAGAAGAGAAGTGATGAACCCAATGAAAAACATCTGGATCTCCTTAAGAATATACCAAAATTGGTTTTGATTGCGCTGCCTGGCTTCCGGTTGATTCTCGTTCACAACAGCAGGTGGATGATCATTCTGGTTATCAGCTTCAACATTTCCTTCTGCAAATAATTGGTCCCAATAAATTAGTTTTTACAAGGAAATAAAGTGTGGATATAGTTCTTGTTTGATATTTTTAAGGGTTTATTAGCGGTTTTTAAAAGTAACGTTTCCAGAGAAGCTGCATAGTTTTTCATCCAAATCCAAACAGACACCGTTTTTACAATTATTTTCTCCACCTTGGAGAAATTATTGTGTGAACATTGGACTATCCGGAAACCAATCAGAACGCGCCACATCACCCGGTACACAGCAGTAACGAGCACCGGTACCAAACAAAAAAATCACATGATGCGTTCTGAAAGGTCTCCGGATGCCGTCTGGGATCCGCACAAAATAATTTTTCACCATGAAGACAGTAAACAAGGCTAGCTGCCATGAAAAATATACAAAGTTCTAAATTCTTCCCTTTTATCTCAGATGCATTTCATTAATATTTCCAGCCAAATTTATGCATTTTCTTCTATTGATTTCAGTCAAATTTACGTTTATATGTTCTTTGTAAACTCACATTGTTCTAAATTGTTCTCATGTTTAGAATTTCATGAGAAGGAACAAGGTACTTCCCTTCTCACTTATTTCTAACAACAATCTCAAGCATAATCAAATGAAAGTGTGGTACTGGTTATATTAATTCTACTTTTTACTCCAACTAGAAAGCTTTAGGGTAATAATCAAAAGATTATTACCAGGCGCAGGTTGAATGCCATCAAAATGCCTCATAGGTGGTTGCTCAGGATGGGCGGCGGGACGGAGTTGAGGCGCTGCACCTCTTCGAATCCATCGGATCAAAGGGGTAAGGGCTCCAGTCTGATACCTGTAGCATTTGGAAACCTGAATCAATCTCATTCACTCAAAGCGTTTAAATTAATTTCAGAATGATTAGTAAATATCTCACAGATAGATGAAAGATGCAAATAGAACCAGTAGAATTAACCGCTGCCTCGATCCTTCTTGACTGAACAGAAAGACAACAGCTGCTAGCTTAATGATGAGAGCCAAATCCAGCTGAAATGCGAAGTGGAATCTCCTCACAACTACTGGTCTTTGTGGCCCTTGCTGCTGTCTTGCCTCATGTCCCAGCTCCTCACCACCAGTGCCAGAAGAGTTTGTTCTCCTGGTATTTTGCATGGTAAAGCAATACGATACGTAAGCTGTAAAAATAATGCCTACTGGAACCAGGTAATCTTTATTGTGACTCCCATGCAAGGTCTTAAATCACTTGACAAATATATCTATGGACTCTATGGTAGATGAAGATAAACTGATCATTGGAAAAAGAAAACACACTATTTTACCATAATCAGAATGTGATATTATATTTCTAGGAAGGGAAACAGAATTGAGCACATCAAATCAACACTCATGTAAGTCTAATATGCAACTGCAAAAAGAACATTAAAGAACCACATTCAACTTGATAATCTTGTTTCAAAAGACCCTTGCAAGACAACACAAACACTGCTTCTTATGAAGTTTTAGTCACCAACAACTATCTCAACCATAGCTACCGTGAAAGAGAAAGGCATTCTAGATGAAATATTTGTGGACGTACCAGAAGAACCATCGATGTTACAACACATGAGAATCAAGCCAAGTAGAATTGTTGGCCCTTTGGAAAAGATGAGAACGAGGCCTCGGAAAATGTAAAAAAGTTTATGTGAGAGGCACTGGGATGAGAGAAATGACGTTCTCATCCCACAGAAATAACATGAAACTTTGATTTTGGCGCAGATAATCATGTGGCCGCCAACCCCAATAAATTATCTAAGTTATTTTCATACAATGGTAATGGGGTTATAATCAGTGGGAATGCAAAAATGCATAAAACCACTCAGATCATTTTGCATAGCTAAAGAGGGAAGCTAATCTTAAATAATGTCTAACTTGCCTCTACTTTTAAATATTCCTTGATATAAATATCTCAAAAAAACCTAAGCTTTGAATGCAAATGCATATTCACCATCTTTAGTGTATCCTTGGATGACAAATACACGAAGGACATGTTTGCTAATGGGATAAAAAGATATATCATTGAAGATAATTCCACTAGTCATCCATGTCTTACAATTTGATGCATACCGGTTTGGCGTGATGGTTTCATAATGAAACTAGTTATGGATTCACAAGTAAACTTGGGTCTCAAAAATCATAAACCACGAAATACACAAAAAAAAACTCATTTTCTTTTGATGGAAATTAGTAAATGTGAGAATTATAATCCAAATAATAATTTAATGATTGAATAAATTCAGATAAATCAACGAGAAATTAAAAAACAAATATATATATATGCCCGTGCTCACGCATGTGTCCGTGTGAGCATCAAGTGCATATCAAAGTCAAATAAATCTTAGCTATATTATGTGGTTGATGTCGTATTTAGCACTTTAGTCTCAACAAACGCCAGTAAAGGTGTGCAATGAGATTCAAATAATTTAGTGGATATTCCTACAGCTAAACCCAAGCATGGCACTAGATTAGCCAATAACACAGTTTCAATCCACACTTCCAACTAAGATCTTAAATGTTAACAATAGGATCTTGACTTTGTTAACGCTTTTGAAGATGGATGACCTTTGTAGAAGTTGGAGTAGCTTGCTGATATTCACAAAAATTCACAATTGATTTGTATAATCTAGTAAAAAAATCTTCTTCTTTTTTCCTCCTTTTTTCCTATGATTTTCTTCATTTCTACTGTTTTTTTTTTTTTGGGTTGGATAAGGTTGGCAACAACATGAGTATGATGAATTTAAATTTTGAAGGATTCCCAGTATGTTGGAGGAAATCAAGGAGGTTTAGATGATAAGATGGTGGTTTGTTGGCATTTTAATTCAAATTTGAATTTGAGTAGGGAAAATTATCTGGCGAATAAATAGACTTAGTGGAGTGTTATAGAGCGAGAAAGAAGAGGGCCCTACTGAGAGAGAACTTGGGTTAAAGAATTTGTTATACATGAAGAACAATGATTTTCCATGAACAATGATTTGATACAGAGAAATAGATAAAAGAAGGAAATAATAAGTGTGAAAATATAAAAGATTATGTAAAGTAACAAGATAGACAAGCATAATGATTGTATGAAGAGATGACCTCCTTTGAAAACTTTCGAGTCTCACATGTGATCGAAGATTAAAATATCAAAATAGATGAGAACAAGAGTCCAAATCCATAATGAAACTTTTCTTCATACCATAAACTATCTAACATGACTCAAAATTCCAATGTTTATAAATGAACAGAATAGCAAACCACTAACAAAGTGCAAACAAACTAACAAACTACTAACAAGTTAAATAAACTTCTAACAAACTGCTAACAAATCATTAATTAATTCCAAATAAATTTTATGATATTGACCAGAATAATCCATTAAATTAATGAAATCTAGACTATATAAAATAACTCAAACACCTAAGACAATAAAAATTCAAAATTTATGTCCATGTCATGTGGCAGGAAGTAAACAATGCAAGTGCATTTTCTTAATTTGTACAGCAAAGCATCCATCGCTAGAACAGACTATAAAATTAAAGGAATATGGATTAATATTTAAATAACAGAGAGACTTACGTGGGAATCTTAAAGGTAAGAGGAATAAGTGTGCTAGGAGGAAACCCAGGCATCATCCCCATAAATTGTGAATAAGTAGGGATAGCATAGAGGCCAGGGCCATAATCACTTTGGTCTGGATTTTGTGGAGGCATCACCAGAGGTACAGTTGACGGGTGTACCAAAGGGGGTTGCTGCTGAGAAGCATCCTCACTAGTACTTTGTAAACTATTTTGAGTCTGGAAAAAAATCACAGAATAGTGGATATTTCAAAACTACCAAAATACCATCAAAAGAAGCATTGCATGCAGTTTTAACAATCTAAAGCATAACGGATGCATGAAGTCTGTAACTAGTCCTTGCATGGTTTTATATATTTAGTATTAATAGTATCTCAACAAGCAAACAAACAACAAAAGTCTAAAAAGAAGAATTATTACTACCCCTAAAAAAAACAATAGATAATGATGAGGTATCAATAAGGGTGGTTCTTGTCCAATTATGCAAACCATCATTATGGAGTGTGATAGAAGACCTTGCAAAATACTGGGTATTATGCAATAATAACCTGTGCATGGTTAAACATGCTTTAAGGTACAACATGCAAAGTGCTAATGCGCACAACATGGAAGAGAGCTACTGGTGGTTAAAAACAGAGGAACTGCCATATGCACTTAAAAGTTTGCCGGAATAGCTTTTCTCTTTCTCATTTAAATTTATTAGGAAATCTAAAATAGCTTCCAATTAACCAGCAACAACATCCGCATATAAAGGTGTCTAACCAAGCTTAATGAAAAGCCAATTAACATCACTTTTGACAAAACATTTATGAAACTTTCAATCACCAGTGCAAACAAAAAGGAATCAAGCTTTCTGCAAAAAATGAAGAGGATATACTAGCCAGCACCACCATCATACACACATTCGGTACCTCATAGGCATTAGGAATCCTCCTAGGTAGGTGAAATCAAAAACAAAATTTATTCAACTAAATTTTAAAAATAAAAATAATCAAGAAACCAGGAAAAATCTTGACTTTCAATCTGAGAATGGACAAGAACAAGATCCAAGGTATTATGAAGATGGCATAAGCTCAAGTTACTCTTAAGAAAGATAGGTGCAGCTGAGAAGAATTTCTAATTGAAACTTCCAAACAGAATGTTGAATGCCTAAATATCATCGTAAAACAGCTGAGGCAAGACTCAAGGCTTTCCATCCAGATTTTTGCACGTATTAAAGAATGAAAGCTCCACCTAGTAGTAGATTTGGCTTGATGGTTGAAGCATCGAAGATAACTAAAGATAGCAGCAGAAACCTATACAAGTAATGCAGCCACAACCCCTCCGATCACTTCTTTCTCTCTATCCGAGCCTTCATGTTTTATCTCTTCCTAGCCAATCCTTCCATTACATTTGAGTTTTGGGCGGATAACAGTTTAAAAATAGTTTGTCAATATACTATGAGTTATGAGTTTATGATTCTAGAATATCACTTAAATCATTGAAGCCATTATCATTAGTACAAGCTCAAGAACTAGGAGAAATCAGTGCTAACTTTCCCAGTTCTAACAAATTTGACAAAAATGCAAAGCTTGAAGAACAAAAGAAGATGAGGCAAACAAACAAACATATGAAACTTCTTGGGATAGTACAAGGTCAATGGCATAAAACTAAGAAGAAAATGAAGGAGTACACACTATGGATACAAATACAAAGAATCGGAAATTGTTTTTATCAGCACCAAAGATAGGTTTAAAGACAAAATCTAGGCAAGTATTAATAGTTCAGAAGCATAACATTATAAGACGAGAAAATTTTGGTCCAGCGGAATGTAGATAATACTATAAAGCATGGCAAAATATATCACAAAAAATACATTAAAGAAGTAATTGTGAGTAACCTTCTGTTGAAAGTAGAAAAGGCTCCAAAAAACATATGATGAGCAAAGGAATAAGACATCACAAGTAGCAAGAAAAGGAAGGAAAGATGCAGAATCAGTGGAACACAGTCCAGAAAAAACTTGAAGAAATATTATGAAAGCATAAAAGACCACATTTAAGTACAGTGGAAAGGAAGAGAGCCAAGGAAGGGAAGCAATGGCAAGGAATAAGTCAAAAAAATAATCATGGGAAGAGAATAAAAGCATCAGAGGGAAGAATATCAAGCTCACTATCTCAATTTTCCTCTCCAAGAACATCCTTACTTGCTTCTTACCTTCTCTACATCACCTTGTTCCAGCACAACAAGGGAAATTTTCATAATTCTACCAAGCAAGTCCTAGCATCCCCCCTACCTCACCTCACTCATCTAGTTAAACTCACTATCTTCCTACATGCAGTTGGATTGGGTTGACCTGAAATCCAGAATATGTGACTGATCTCAAACCAAACTTGGCTTGAACATAATCTCATATGTAGGTGCTAATCTAAGCCTAATAAATTTTAATGTGATTTGGATAAGGGTCAACCATATCTAACCTCGACCTCCTAAAACAAATAATCATTTTTTTAATTAGTTAATGGCTCTTAATATCGTAATTGCGCCGAGAATTCATACTTTTAAATGCATGAATGCATTTTCATTATCAATACACATGAAATGTCAACACAAATCTAACATAGGAATGGGACAACAACATATCATATAAAAAAAACACTTACAGATAGGAAAACCCAAACATCCAATCATTTTCTAAGAAAAAAAACCAAAGGAAATGTTCCCTTTTATTTATTTATGGAATTTTAAACCATACCTTCTCACTAAGAAATGCACCAAAAACCAGTAGATTATAATGGGACATAAATCCGCCGGTAAAATGGCTTAATGACTTTACTCAGAATATAAAAGTAGAACTCCTTCAAGTTAAACGAACAAATGATAGAAAAGATCAACTCGAATGTATTTTTACAATCAAGCAAAGAAATATATATAACAAAAAGTTCGTTGCGCGATCAAATGATTTCATAAGCAGAAGAATAGATAAACAACTTGCACAATTTAAGAAGAAGAGAAGACAAGTGAACCCGCTGGCTGAGATTGCTAATGGAGAAACGGGAGGACTATCGATGAACCAAAAGCCATAAATTCCGTAAAACTAGAGCTCAGTTAACGGAAGAAACTAGGTCGAGAGGAAGTAAATCAGAAATAAAATCGAGATCGGAGAGAGGAACTGTAAAACGACTTACAGGTAATCTCTCGATCTCTTCTTGGCCAGCGAGTCCCGGAGCCGCTGAAGGGGCGTGGGCTTCTTCCGCCATCAGAGAGTCTTCAATCCTCGCGCCGCGACTGATCTACTCCGCATTACGGATCGGAGGGGACAAAGGCAGCTCGAAGTAGGGCTTTGGATTAGCCAAATCAATTAAATAAAAAACCTACCATCTTAAACCACTTGATTTATTTACAAATTACAAGAGAAATTTACATACATTTTATTAAATATTTATGCATTTATATTTAATATTGAACTTTTTAAATTTTATTTATATAACACTTAAGATTTTATAGTACACCAATTTATTATTAATATTAGTTTACTTAAAATAATATTTATTTTTATGCAAATTTTTTATTTGATTTAAATAGTAAAATAATATATACTAAGTTAAGTATTGCATAGATGAGGATGCTCATGTAGATAAATAATTTTATACTTAGAGATAAAATAAGAAATAAGTATAGATAAAAAATAGGTTGGAGTAGTTATAATGAACTGATTAGCAGAGTTGATGTATTAGATTCAGCCTATGTTGAAAAATTTAAAGATAATTCTAAAAAGATTTGGCTAAAATGTAAAAGAATAGAAATTACTTTTTTTTTAATTAGATTTAAATGAAAATTTGACTCTTATCGAGATATAATAGATAAAAAATATTCACTTGGCGGAATAAAGACTTTGATGTTATTGTTGTATTAAAATAATATATAATTAAATAAAAATATTTGGGGGTCAGGTTTATAAATATATAAGAATTGTATGGTAAATATGTGAACCTCCCTTAATTTTTATATTATATTTCAATATCATCTTGTTTCTAATTTTTTATATCCTTATTATGATATCAAAATTTGCATTAAAATCATATTTTTGTTTCATTTTTAGCAACTTTCTATTTTTTTGAAAATTTTTTGCCAACATAAATGTACGAATTAGATAATTAAAAATAAATAATCTGAGTGTTAAGTTCATAAATCCTCCAATAATGAAAAAATCAATGTTGTGTGTAAGTATCCATTTATTTTTTATTCAATTTGAGCTCTAACAAATTTTTAATAGAGCATAATTATTTATATATTAAAATTTTAAATAAATAGGATTACAATTAGATATAATTGAATATTAAAATTTTAATGAAGAAAAAGTGCTACTAATTATTTAACTTTTAAGTTTTAGATTTAAATATTAATGGAAACTAATAATTATAAAATATGACATACTATCTCCATATTGCGTCGCTTTGGCCGAGTGGTTAAGGCGTGTGCCTGCTAAGTACATGGGGTTTCCCCGCGAGAGTTCGAATCTCTCAGGCGACGATGGTTATTTTTGGCTTTTGCTTATCGCATAAGAAATTAAATTATAATATAAAATTTTTATAGTTATTAAATTATTATAATTTTTTCCAGCAAGTTTCTGCTGGCTCTGCCTGCCCTTAGCTGGCAATTGGCACCAATATATATTTTATATTAATTGAGTTGAATTATCCCGTTTATATTTTTTATTTTTATTATGATTATTATTTGAACCTAAATTTTATATTTTTTTATTATGATCATTTTCATAATATTAATGTTAAGAGATAATTAAATCATTATATTAGCTTGATAAATAGCCAATCCCATACAACGTCATAAAAGCTTATTAATATTATTGTATTTTAGCTTAACAAATTAATGGGTGAGCTTAAGCCAATATTAATTTATTTATTAGCTTGTGAGGGTTCTTATCTTAAAAATAAAAATATTTTAAATATATTAAAATTTAAGATCTTAAGTACATAATAATTAAAAAATAAAAATTTACATTATATTACCTCATATCAAATAATTTCTAATTATTACTTATTTTTTTATAATTTTATTACAACTACTTGAATCAAAATTACTTTTCTTTAAGCCAAATTGCCTGCTCATTAGAGCAAGATCACCTCCTTAATGCTTTTAAAAAAATAATGATGCACTTTAAAAAAGATTTAGATCTTACTTTCAGTCTATATGGGAGAATATCAGTAATAAAAAAAAAAGTATTTATTCATCGCATAAAGTGATTGTGACAGGATTTCAATAAAAGAACACTACATATTAAGGCTTTGTTTGGGACGACTTTCTCATTGCTTCTTAAATCAGGTTATTAATACAAAATTAAAAAAAATATTAAAAAGTTACTTAAAGAAGCATAAAAAGTCATTTTATTATTTTCTAAAGCAATTTCTTAGTTCAAAATTTTTTTGATTTAATAATTTTGATAGTATAAAATTAATTTAGAAAACAGTAAAAAAAAATGTAAGAAAAGAAATCTAATATTTCCATCGCAATTCTCTGCCTCAAATTTTGATATTGTCTTATAACCCAAAAAAAAATTTAAATAATGAAAAAAAAATTATGTAGGGGATACACACTAACAATTTTATATTACTAAAATAAATTTAATAGAGATCGGGTCGCGCTCAAATCTCCTAGTATGCCAAAAAAACAAATAAATCTAGTAATTTAAAAATTAGTAGATTTATTTTAAGATTAATGTAATATAAATTTACTCTAATAATTTTTAAATTTATCATTATATAATTCTATAACAATTTTTATCATTTTTAATAAATTCTAATCAATAATTTTTTTTTACTTAAAAAAAAGGAAGTGGGTCCAAATGTCACATACAGAGAGGGAAAACTACCAGCTTTTAAAGCAATCAACACAACAAATTATCTCTTGCATAAATAACGGATTAATTAAATTAAAATATGAGAGAGAGAGAGAGAGAGAGAGAGAGGAAGGCTAGTGTCAATGGTTCTAGCCATGTTTTTTCTCTCTCTTGATGGATCAGTGGTGCTGTAGTTGGTGGAGATCGGGAGGAAATCAGGTTAAAGTGAGGAGGCGACTGGCGAGAGAGAGAGCCAAAATATAAGAGGTGGGGATTAGGGATTCAAATTTTATTTGGAAGGGGTGTTTAAATTACGAAAAGATCCCTGCCTGCTATTGGAAATTGGGATGCGCGTGAGGGACCTTAGTAAAATATGAAAGGGGTATTTTATAAATTTTATTAATCGAATTTTCTTTGATATATCAAGAATATATATAAAACAGATTTTCAAAAATTTATATATATTTAATATCGGCTGTTTTGGTCGGGACATCATTTTTATAATTTTATTTTTAATATTTTTATTTAATTTTTATTTTTTAATTACTTAAAAATAATTATACTAAAAAGCTATATTTTAAAATAATTTTTGTAAAAAAATTTATAATAAAAAGCTATATAATTAAGATTTGAATTCTCCTTTCACTTTAGAATAAAATATTTTTTATTTAACATATTATTAATTTTATATTTACATTTTAGTCATCTTTATTTAGCATTCAACTCTAAGTATGTTTCGCACATTAGTATTATTAGTCTCCAAAAATTATTTGATATTGTAAGAGATTATATAGTATAAAATTTATATAGCTAATAGATTTAAGGTTTTGATGAGAATGATTCTTAAAAATGATATTAGGGATTTCATCAATAATATTTTATATAAAATTTATTAAACAATTTGTTGTCAATTGGAAGAGAGATTATAGAATCATTTACTTCAAAAGTATGTTTTATTGGTTATTCTAGTTATTTAATTATTTAAGGTGTAATATCTTGAATGTATGGTTGATTTAAATTCATTTGAATCAAGGATTTATTTTTAGGAACACCACTTAGACTGAGAAGATCAATACATGATTGAAAAGTTGGGCTACTTGTGCTCTATGACATTAAGCGACTCTTTATTGAGTAAGAGATAAACATACACCTCTGTGTTAAGGCTGTACTCCTTGATATTTATTTGTATGCGTTAATTCATGGTAAAATGTAATATATGCTTATTTATTCACATTAACTCTAAGTGTTCATTTTGACATGAATTGATGGTTGGTTTGTCATATTATTTTGTTGCATAAATTTTTAGAGGTTTAGCATACAGCCTTTTGATTGCTAATAATAATGATTGCCCATCCGAGTCATGAATCGTCCACAATGCAGATAGGATTCTAGATGTGGTCCCTACAAGTTCAAGGGGTGGCTCCCGTCATGTATCATTTTATCTCATACAAGGTTTAAAAGATGGCTTCCATGGCATAGCAATTTATCTTGTATAGCACTTAGTTCTCATCTTCCGGTTGGTGTATTGCTCTGATACCATTTGTAACAACCCAAATTATTAACTATCGAGATATTATCCGTTTTGGCCGAAGGGCCCACAGTTTTGTCATGTTGATATAACTTTCACTGAGGTCATCTTTCCCAGAATTTTTGTGGGATGAGCACACTTAACTGTAGAGTTTCTTAATGAAATTTCAATCATTACATCAAAAGATGTCTGAATATTTAAGCTTATATGTGATCCTTAAAGTTTAAAATATTTATGAAATGTTCTTCACAGAAGAAAAAAAAACACTTTTCCTTATAAAGGTTCACAAAGAAAAAGATTAAAAGAATTATATGGTTTCTGTAATATGTATTTGCCCGTTTTTTAATTGATTATGTGATAAATTAGTATTACAATTTTGAGTGAGTAGGGTACTCCTATAATAATGTATTAAGAGAAGTCCTTTCTTGTCAAAATAAATAAATAAAATAAAAAATGGGTCACAATATTATAATGTAAATTTTAATTGATTAATAATATATTATAAAGATAAATATACTCTGAATTTACTCATCAAAATTTGATTTTGATGATTTTGAAAATTATTGAATTTTCTTTGAGGTAGGTAAATATAAATTTTTGTTCATTATTTATGTATTTTTTTATGTTAAACCAAATATTATTATTCTGAGACACATCTTATATAACTATATTCGCAACTCCATTGATTTTTTATTCCTTTATCATCCCTATTTTATATTTAACAAGTAAAACAACCTACAAAGACAAGAGAGGGTTCACATGGTCATTTCAACATCAACGAGCCGTTATCCCATCTCCTCCACACATTAAAAATCCTAACGTCCACTTTTCCCAAACATCATCCAATCCAAAAGGTAAAACGAAGAAGGAAAACAAAACTCACTCACTAATCTAAATCTCCTTTCTCAAACCTTTCTCTTCGATGACCTTAATAAAACTAATTATCCCCAATCCTCTAACTTC